AGTACAGTTCCTAGTGAAAACCTTCCACAACTGTTCTATGGCAAATGAAAAATAGTCTCCCATAGCCTTGTAAAAAAGAGCTTAAGAGAGGGATTTACTTTAAGATGCTCAACATGTTCAATGAAGTTCATTGGGGACAGCAACCCAAAAGATAATAAAGCAGAATTTGTGATGGGTCCTAAGTTTTGATTTGAGATCACAGAACGGTGCCAAGGCATGTAGTCACTGCATAGACTCATCATGCCCGAGCAACACACGCATACAGATGGAGTTGAGGAGTGACGGCTGTCATGCTCTGAACATTTGGTCGCCAGTGCAGGTGGTATGTTATGTACAGATCAAAGTGTTGTGCGCATGTGAAAATCGCAGGAGGAGGAGCGGGGACGCATCTGAAGTCATCAGATAGTTTCACAAATGGAAAGTAACAGACAGAGGAAAGAGAACATTTTCATGAATGTGGCCAGACAAAGCCAGCAACAGCGGTTCTTGGCTGCCAGAAAACACTGTTGTGCCTTGTGAAGATTCATCGTGCCAAATTCAATAAAACATCTGCGGTGGCAGCTGCCCACTTGATATACTGAGCGATATATCCGCACTCACACATTCAGTCCTGGCACTAAGCCGCTGCTGCCTGTTGGACAGATCTGTAATGATGCAGACTGATGAGAACAAAGTCACTATTTCTGGGTTAGCAGCACATTCATTTGACCATCTAAAATAGACTCCTGCAGAACTGTTACAACTTATCGTGCACATGATCGTGGCAAAAAGGACTGCAACAATAAAGCCTGTGTAATGGAAAAACAATTTTTGTTCATCAGCGTTTCAATACCCCTATTGTTTGAGCTATATGAAAAAAACTTACTGCCTAATTCCAGATATTCCACAGTAAACTGAACAGCTATGCTCCAAACTTGTGAACAGTGAATATTAGTGACAAACACACCAATAGGAAATGTCTGTTAAAAGATAGTTCGCAGCCGAGGCCTCACAGAAATGTTATGTTTTCCCACTGTATTGTGAAAATTAAAATTCAACTCTTCAGCAATTACACACTGGGCTGAGCTGATAGAGATGAGAACACCCATTCGAAGCTACTGTTGCAGACATCAAAGGCATCATTACCGTGCATAAATAGGCAGGATGAAAGGGAGCGAGACGCCTGTTATTTTCCCATTCACAACGTCAGCTGAGGACCAAAGACGTGTTATTATATGGAAACAAAAGTTAAAAACAAACTGACTGATGATGATGATTTAGCATGCTCTCAAGCATGCATGTCTGCGTGTGTGTACGAGTAGACGGAAGACACCAAATAGAGAGAGAAAGAAAGAAAGAAAGAAAGAAAGAAAGTGTGTATGTCGGGGAAAAAAACATAACCTCAAAGAACAAGACTGTGAGAGCGGACGATGTCGAGACAGAGAAGAGATTTCCCGGATAAGATTGTGAATGCCGTATGAAATGGATCCTGTGCAGATATGAAATGACGTTAGGTCTGACAAATGGAGAGAAAGAATACCCCAGTGATCCAATTGCCAAAACCTGAACACAAGAGAGGAGAGATGGAATAAACTTTGGGAATAAAAGGGCTCACTGAACAGAGAATAGACTACAGTCTATCTATCCTCTACTGTTGCCTAGGTTACCGCCTCTAGTGGGCGATGAGTGCTGACGAAAATGGCTGAGAGAGAAAAAAAAAAAAAGAGGAACACAGACAAACATGGAGGGTGAAGTACAGGAGAAAATGTGATAACTAAAAAGTGTTCTCCTTTTGTGTTGAGGGGAAGGGCTTACTACTCAGAGACACTGATAGACCCTTACAACTTAATTCAACAAAATACTTCAAATTCAGTAGGTTGTTTTGCATCTAAAAACTGTCCTCCTCTACTGGCAGTTTTTTGCACTGACAAACTAAATATTTTTGAAGACCTTAATGTGAATACTCGGAGCAACAGAACGTGGATTAAGAATAACAGTATAAAATGTATAAAATGAGCTCCAGATTAAATGGACATGGCTTGTTGAACCAAATATTGTCCTTAAAGTTACCCTTTGCAGGGGAGAAAGGAGCACAATAAGCCTCTTAAATAACTGGGACACCACAAAAACATACATGGCCTGTTTCAATTCCACGAATGACTGACCTCACAACACAAGCACAGATTTGGAAAGGCTTGACTGGAATAGTGTTAGGCAACTGTTGACCTTTGAGAGCTGAAAGCCTGCATTTTTTTGTTCTAACCACTTGTATACACCAGGTGATTTCCCTGACCACCATTCAACAACATAGCTGTTCATGCCCTACTCCTCATGCAATACATTAGACCCTCACTACCTTACAAAAATACTGTTTTTATCCTGGACTTTGATCTATACGCACAAGCATCAAATGATAACATATCATTATAGTGTCACTGTGTTTGTGCACACACACAGTCATCAGTGTAAGTGTAAGATGACAGAATTTCATGGCGTGAATCACGTGTATGTTTTGGCAGTCAAAGAATATAAGTACCATAAATCATCAAAAAAGGCTGCACCAGGCTATATAAATAGTACCACAATAGTACAAGAACGTATCTGCTTTTCTACACATCACACTGTAAACACAGAACTCCAAATCCCATTTCCTCTGGATAATCAGAATATTTCCTGTCATGTGAATTAGAGATATTATGTGGAGCTGTTAGTTTTGCAGTCATGTTAGCAGTCAGACTTGTGCTTTTTCAGTGACACTTAGGCAGCACAATGGGGAACTGAAGGACACTATAATCAGAGCCTACAGGTGGCTACAGGGGTAGAGATGGAGTTGATTAAATGCAATACGTAAGCAGCAGCAGTGGAGAGTGATACTTGCATGAAAGGCGATTCTGCAGCAGCAGATGCAGCAAGACTGAGCACAGCAAGACAGCTTAAGTACATTTGCTTATTGCAGAGGGGGTGACGGATAAGTACTGCAGAGAATGGAGCAAGTCACATGCAATACTGTATCCCACCAATAATAATGTAGTTAATCTTCCCCATCCACTTATACAGATTGCACCGGTGCCTCTGAACACCAAAGCCCCTGTTTCAGAAAAACAGAATCCTGTGTATACTATAGCCTATTTATCTATGCTAGCTATTTAGATAATCATGGTCAAATTTAAAGCAATTTTCTTCTTAATATAAAGGGTTCTGGTCACAGAAACTCTTTGAGGCTTGTTTGTTATGTGTTAAGTGTGCAGTATGTAATTTTACAGAATAATGACAAATCACTCACAACTTGTTACTGTATGCTTCTGCTAAGCTCCATCACATCCATTAGTATTCATGCTGCCTCTCTGACTATGCAGCATCACAATCCCCACTTACAGCAGCAGTAGCTCCACTATCAGTGCTCATTCTCAGTCTCCTTGACCACAGACCTCTGTGAGGGCCACAGCTCCAGATTAATACACGTAGTAGGGGCAGACTGTTATAAATAAGACCTGACTGATCTGACTGGATGAATAAATGAATGAATAAATATAATTTACTTGTACATGCAGCCAAAACTTACATTCGTATGATGAAGCCTTTGATTTTTGCCAAAAAGCCAAAAAGTGTGAAAAATATTGCTTGTCATGTTAAAAACAAATCAGATGACTCTCACATGCTAACACACACACACACATCACTGCAGCAAGGATGGAGACCCTCCTCCAGGCATCAGGATGGTGAACTTCAGACCTGCTATATCTGATGTCTCTTCACAATCGCTTCTCTTGTTGGAGACTTCTTTCCGAGGCCTAAACTCTCCTCAGGCCAACATCGACAGCCTACAGCTCCACCTCACACACCTTTATGACCTATTTGTAACAGAAGTGTAAGAGTGGAGCCCATTGTTTATAGAAAGAAATCTTATGATCCAGTCATGAGCAAACATACCCATCTGCGTCTCTGCTTGATCAAAGCAAAAGGTTGTAAAAGAACATCAGTTTAGGGTAAATTCTGGGACACCCTGTTTTGGAGACAGCTCACATATTAGGCACAATTGATCTGTATATCATATGATAGTCCATAAAAGGCTGGAAAACTGGCAATCTTAGCTGAGTTCGGTGTGCCTAGTAGTAGATTCCATGTGATTTAGCTCAAAAAGCAGCTAAAATACATAGCAGGAATCAGCAAAGCAACTTTGATTTAAAAAGCATCTTGCCCCTGACACAAAAAACACTCGCTCTGAGTAGTCACGTTGTTCGTAGGCCACGGGAAATGTGCTACAGAGGTTTAACTTTAACCTGTTTTATATTTATGATTTTTTTCCGCAAAAGCCTACTCTCCTCTCTGAAGCCGTTATCTTTTAATGAGTGTGTCACCTCTTTTGTCTCTCGGCTCACAGACAGACAGCCAGACAGATAGACAGACAGGCAGTCTGTTCCCTGAGCCTGCAAACAGGACACTGGCCTTTTATGGGTGCTCCTCTCACATCACATTCCCAAATGGATTCTCCTATAATAGGATGAAAATGAAAGCTCTTTTATAACAGTTTGAGAGCAGTCTGGTTGGGGTTTTTTTTACACAGAAGCTAGCTGGGATGTTCTTTGCCTGCTCATATGTGATGGTGTTACAAATATCAGTTGAGAAGATACAAATAAAACAGTGTTTGTCTACAGTCTACTGTACACATGAAATACCAACATACTCGATGTATCCACCACATTCAAATGGCAATCCACCTTGTAGCTGAGCCTGTAATAAATGCTTGTATCACTCATAGACTATCTCATTTGTATAGGCAATATTTTGAAGCATGGGGAGAAAATATTAATATCAGAGACATCTTACAGGAAATTACTGCGTAAGTGACACACACTGCAATGAACATTCATGTTAAAGGTCACATCCAGGTTAACAGTACATGATAATTAACTTCAAGCTCACCACACTAGATTTCAGGAAACACAGAGCCCCACATTGCAAACAGAGAAACTCCCACTGAGAAACCTAAGTGACACGAACACAAAACTTTTATCACCAACCTTCTCCAGCTTTTCAAAATGCTCCCGCAGGAACTTCATAGGACGCTCAGGCTTAGCGATGCAGAGGTTCACAATGCACTCTTTGAGGATCTGCTGGATGTTGTGCTTCTGCACAAAGATTTCACAGCCCTTCAAACTCTCGTCTTCTTCCAGAGTGGAGGAGGAGGTGGCCATCTTATCTTTTATCTCTGTGGCAGTGGGAGAAAACAGGGTGGACCATGAGAGGAGGGGAGGGAAAGCAGAGCAGAGAGGGGGGGTAAAACAGGGGTAGCAGGGGAGAAAACAGAAAGGAGGGGCAAAATGTTGTGCATACTGTGTGATAAGAGGAAAATAAGATAGAGAATGGAGGAGCAATGAATCGTGGGGAGGAGGTGAGTGAACATTTCACACCCTGTTGCTTATGTTTCCTACCGAGGACTTCATTAAATGAACTGTGTCAGTGCCCTAAGCAGACATGAAGATGATTGCTGTAAGTTTACGTTACCTTTCTCAGTTGAAGAAGATAGGTCATTTTGTAACTACCAGTAGTAATAATGTTGATGTAATATGGTTGCGTTGGATATACACCATAAGACAATATAGATTGATCAGCTGTCAACTGAGATTTTCTGTTTACACCTTGGTAGCTATCCATTTAATATAGCTGGGTGTATTAGACCATTGTGGGTAGGGATACATCAATATCTATGCCAGTATTGGGTGTTGGGTCCAATACTGTGCTCACATACTGTAACTGTAATCATAAAAGTACTCTGATATTGCACCCGATACCACTTTATGTCATAACTCTCATTAGTTGAGCAGATAGGCGGAAGGTCAGCAGTTTAGAGATATTTTAATCCACTTATACAACAACATTAGCAAAATCGAATTTGTTACAATCAGAAAGTGAGGAACATCTGATGAAAATAAAACACGTTTTCAAAATTACTGTCAGAACTGTAATGGTACGACTGAGTACTGATCAGTACTCTGTATCAGCAGGAATCTTAAAAAGTGGTATTGGTGCATCCCTAACGTTGATGCAACAGTGCATATCACTGAGCAGGTCTGCTTTAGGTATTTTATGAGCTGGTTTAGCCAAAAATAAACATTCAATGTATCTGTATCAATGTATTTTACTCTATACAGTGATATTTATTTCAATATTACAATATTAAATTTCATATCTCAGGACAAATGTGCACTTTTTGTGTCTCTGTTGGTGGGCAGGTGACAGAAGGGGCTCCCAAAACAGGAGTTCTGGTTCAATGGATATAATGCTGTTTGTGAGAGTAAACCCTTCAGCAGGTGGAGGCAAAGCAAATTACGTAGCAGTGTATGACAACTGACAACAACCATGATTATGTCAGACTACAGTTATGTTAAATAAACGCCTCACTGCCAGCCAGGAAGCTGAGCAGGTGTAGCTCACTGTTAACTACCCTGCATCACTTCCTCAAAGGGAAATCACGTCTACGATATGATTGGTTTTTTTTGGGGGTTTTTTTTGTACTGCACAATGAATCAAAAGCAGTTATGACTTAAGGGGCAAGACACCTACCGAGTGCAGTGTCTTTCAAAAGCAGTGCCCACATTTAACAACGCTGCCATGCATACTGTTGAGCTTAGTGATGAAAACTCAGCACCTGCTCAGTTGCTCTTTAGACAGCTAACCCTGCTAGCTTTGCAACCAAACCACAACGAAAGGGGGAACTGCTGCGACGTAAACGCCACCAAGGGCCTGGTCTCAACAGCTATTTTGTCCTGATAAAAACCGGGTCTGAGTCGGTGCTCTCGCTGGTGTCCCTACCGTTCGTTTTTTTCGGAGGATGCTCAGTGAGAAAACACCTCGCCGGTGGTGGTGGGAGATTGGTGAGGTGCCGTTTGCTGGATGGGATGCTGCTGCTGCTGCTGCTGCTGCTCTGCCTCCCTCCCCGGCTCCGCTCTGCGTCAGTGCCGATGACGTCAATCTGTCATCTCCGCGACCGCAGCGGAGCTCTCCCGAGGCTGCAGGTGACGATCTTTAAAGGAGGCACCCCCCCCCCCCCCCAAACAAACCCTAACCCCCCCCATAAAGGGACGTGTCGAGTGTTGGACAGGTAGGTAAGCGGGGGAAGGGGGGGTTAGGCAGACTGGTGTCCGTCGTTTAGCCGGAGGGAATCTTGATAAACTGACATTATTTTGACGCAGCGGCCCGGATATTTAAGAGATAAGCTCATGGAATACGTCAAAGTCATCGAACTCCCCCCCCCAAACCACCACACACACACACATACACAGAAGTCTGACCTCACACCATAATGAAACTGTCTTAAAATTATTATTAAAAAATACATATATCATATTGTGTTTTTTTATTAATTGTTTTATTTGTTGGCTTAGAAGTAGTAAAACTTTAATAAACTGACCAGATACCAAAAGTAAACTCGCTAAAAAATGTTTCATTGTGTCGATTTTTCATATTTGATGTATTTAACTGCTATGTTGCAAGTTTTAAATTCCAATATGAAAGGCTGAAGGTTATTTCAAGGCCTTCTCTGCACTATCAATACAAACATTTAAAGGGTATGTAGAGAGTCCTTATCAAATGTATATAAATTGAGTCTAGAAACACTAGAATGAGACAATCACATCAACCGTGTGTGTATTTTTTCCTAACAGTAGAATTAAAATCTCGAAGGGACCCTAAAACCTCAGTTAGTGAGGGATGCATTCACTGACATATTGGGGTGTTTCTGGCTCACCTCTGTGACCCCTACTTTAAAAAGAAAGGTTTAAAAAGAGGTCTAACGTTCACTACCCCCAATACACATAGCATCTTGATTATATTTTACCTTGAGCCACGAAGCCCAACCAGTACTAGTATCCTGGAACAGCCTACAACAGGCTGCAGGTGTGTTTCATGTAGTTTGTGTGAATTTGATTAAAAGCAAATCTATTTGGAAATATACATATTTAACCATAAGGCGTTATATATTTAGGCTTAATCAAATTATTACAAACAACACACCATAAACCCTGAGCTTTGGGAGCCTCTGAGGGACTCTCTCCCACTTTTCCCATTTTTAGACATCACAGAGGATAAAAGGCTGTTTTCAACTCATAACTATTGTAATTTGGCGTTGTATGAAACGATTCATTTCGTATATTCAGTGCGGTTTTGATTCAGCTTTGTTGACACAAACAGGAACACTTCAAAGCGGTGAGAGCTCGGAGCAAGAGGAAAGTCCGTGAATGCGAATAAAGTTTGAGAGTTTGAATCGGAAGCCGCCGTAAAGCAGCACGTTTGTTTGTCGCGCAGCGGCAGGTTGCCATAACGACAGTCAAGATGGCAGCGATGGCGGCTGGAGACGAACATGCTGCCTCTGAAGTTTTGAGAGGACTCGCCCGACATTTAAACTGCCTCAACGAGGACAACAAATCCACAAGAAAGAGGGCTCTGGAGCTCATCAAGAGGGAGACTGTGGACAGAGGACTGTCCAGCGGCGTCTTACAGGAGGTCTTCTCCGCCCTCCTCAAGCCTCTCCTCAAATGTCTGTCCGACCCGATGGAGAGATGCAGGGAGACGGCGATAGCGATAATAACAGACTTTATTCGCTGTGTCCCGAAACCGGAGGAGTCGCTGCCTTATCTCATGCCCTGTCTGGCCCAGAGGCTCGGGGAGAAAGACATCCTGGAGCCGGCGGAGGAGCTCCGGCTGTCGGCCGTGGAGATGTTGACTCTGACGTTGGAGGTGTGCGGGAAGCGACTGGCGCCGTACGTGAACGACATGACGAACATACTGCAGAGGACCATCGTCGACCCTTTCCCAGACGTCAAACGAGAGAGCTGTAAATGCACTGTGAACTTTGCAAAGTGTGTTCCAGGTGTGTGAAGAAGTTTCTCTCCTTTTTTTTTTTTTTTTT